GGTCCCAGGTTCGATTCCCGGGTCTATAGAAATATTTCTATGGCCTACATTTATTATCTCGTGAGTTTGGGTGTAATTTATGGTTGACTATGTGTGTGTCCATGGCATCCGCGACAAAGGATTTCCCTAGTGCGGGACTATGTTGAGTGTGTGCGTTATTATTATTATTTTATTTCTTTTACTTTATTATGGACTTTATTAGACCAAGCATGAGGTTTTATTTATCACCTATATAGCATGCTTACGATACGGCTTATTTCATGTACGTAATTTCTCTTTTAAACTTATGCATCTGAGGTTAAAGTTTAAAATTGCAGTTATTACGTTATGGCCACATTAAATGATACAAAGTATTTTAGTGTAACGTTCAGATTCTAAATATTATCAAATAAATTCTATACAAAGTGGCAAATGGATAAAGATTTCTAATTTTTTTATACGAGCACCGACGAGGCATTAATGTAGTGTAAACGTTTCGAAACATTAACCACGAATATGGAGTAGATATAGTGCGTTTGACACTGCGCAGTTTTGGTTTTCCCGCTTACGCAATGGAAACTTTGACCAGGCAAATGACTCTCTTTTATTTTTAACAGAAAATAATGTTCAAAGATACTAAGATTTTTCCATAATATACCGTGTTTTAAGTAAATAAACGAATTATGATTATTATTGTATCGTACCATTTGTATAATAAAACCACATTACGACTACACGAATTAAATTATAAATAATGTGAATTTTTATAACTTCTACGAGTATTTGGATCTTTAAGCCTCTCTCCTGAAATATTGTCATTTTGCAGATGTGGTCTTATTACACCGAGGTTGTGAATTATTACTTATACTTGACATTTAGCAGCAGTAGAGCTCCTTGTGGAAGAGTTCGCCCGGGGAAGCTCGGAGCGCCACTGCAACCATAGTTACTGCAACTGCATGACTGGGCGCGACTTGCGCGAGAGTGACATAAAGCGCGAGATACTGCTGTTTTCGCATAAAGATGTTCCTACTGTCACTTGATATCATAACAAAATACAGTTACATACATTCCTTTACCGCACTATTTTACTGTACCGTCACAGAGTGAGTCCTTTATAAAACTGATAATTATTACGTTGAGAAACAAAAATTGTTAGACAATTCTTCCCCTTCTGTCGCCACCATTTAGAAGAACTAAACTAGGTCTGAACTCACCAGTCTGCCGTCTGTCTAGATGACACAATGAGCACAGTGCCACAATAGATATGTTCTCGGATTCGCTAACCATAGAGCAATAATTAGCACGTAAACATCTTATCTATAAGTATTATTACTGATTTTCATGTTTTTTATCTATCAATTATCTATATTGTTTTCTGTTTCTTTTGTAATTGTATTCGATTTCATGGCTCTTAAATATTAAGACTAATCTGCTCAATGCAAGTTGTGTTTCACGTGCCACTGTTGTGCATCTTGGCATAATACTAATAATAAATTGAACATGTTATTTGATGTAACAACTGTTGATGAACTTAATAAAAAAAATACACTATAGTTGTTCAACTGTTCACACAACAACAATATAAATGGGTACTGAATCAGTATTCATTTATTCTGTTGAAAAACTATAAATTACTCAGTGAAGTATCTGATGAAAGTTTACGGACGCATACGCCGTTAAATAGGCCGGCTTTGTGCTCATAGATTAATCTGGTTTAATAGATTTTTACCGTTTATGTACGACATATCTGATTTATATACTTATTTACTTATATGAACAAGAGCGGCGTTAGACCGGTGAGATATATTCTTTCATTTATTTTCATATCATGTGTCATGTATGTTATGTAGTATAACAGGTACTTCTTTTCCACGCTGATGCTCTAATGAAAACCAAGAAAGTGTTCAGCGATGAATCCGAGTTAAAAAACGTAGAAGATTTCCTCTCCACCTGCACCAGAGTAAACCTAGAGGACGTAAGAAAGGTTGCGAACACAGACATATATCTAGAGTGGTTGCGAAGATGGTTTTCAACTGCTTGACTGAAAACACTGAACGGCTCGGGCTCGGGGAACAGACTACAACTAAATTCGAATTTTCGGCGGAATGCATATATCTTACGTGCGAGTAAATAGCTTCAATGGATTGTCCAAACAGACCTTTTGACCTTTTTAACACCAGTGTTGCATCGGTGAAGCTTCTTATTAGTAGTTTGTTTTTTGGCGAGTAGGTATTTACTAAGTGTTGCGAAAATGTTATATAGTTATTTGAAAATGTTATTTAGATTAAGTTTGTTTCCTACAACTAAAAGATAATGGAAGAGCGGGCCTTCCTGTCACAGGTGGATGACACCTACTAGGAAGTCCCAACCTTATTTTAAGACGACTAAGAAAAAAGAAATAAACTTTTTCATTTTCATTTTCAGTTATAATTTAATGCTCATTAATTTCATGTGTGTCTGTCGGTGAGGATCTATAATAGGCTCTCCATTATTATTTCAGTTTTTACTCTGTAAGATAGCCGTTGGTCTCCCAATAAGTTAAAACAAATTAAGTTACAATGTTTAACCGACTATTAAAATATTTAGTACATAAGTTGCATATTGGATCGTGGACAATTATTTTAATATTATGAATAAGTCATTAAATATAGTAGTGTAACAATTGTAAGAGCGATTACACACTGCCACTTTTAACAGCGATGCGAACGTGATGCAAGCGCGCGTCTGCATCGATACGAACGCGCGTTTGCGTCGTATTTCTGTGAGTATTCTGGTCTCCAACACTTGATTACATTACAAATACTAGTTTCTAATCCAGGATAAAGTAGACACAGAGATGACAAAAATATATAACACATTCTGTTTTGTTAAATTAAGCTCGAATTAGCAGCGTTAGTCAATTTAAGTACCTAGGCCACTGTTTGACTGACAACTTGAAGGACGATGAAGGTGTTGAAAGGGAACCCAGGGCGCTGGCGATGTGGGCGAACATCATGCTAGTTCGCAGGTTCACTTCGCTATCCTCGGCACTTTGTTTCGAAATACCTTCAGATCGGACATTTCTAGTGAAACTAACTTAGCAAGTAACGTGTATTAATATTCTAAATGCAGGACGAAAACTCCCGTGTGCCAATTTTGTATAGTTTTAAAGAAAACTTACTTCAAAGTTCTGAGATCATTATATAAATTACAAAAATGATTAAATCTCAAAATAATATAATAGTATTAAGTAGTTATTAACATGATATTAAAAGGAATTTAAAACACCATTGTTAAGCTTTGTCGCTTTTCCAAAATGTAAGCGTAAGTTACGAAAATAGAATATTTCTTTAAAAGGGTCTTATATATAATACTTTTTTCTTTGTCATTTCACCTTAGTAGCACCCAGAAATCATTTAAAAAGTTAACCATGCGTACTATTCTCACAAAAAAAAACTAGCTCTTAATGCTAAAGTTTTTAATTTCCAACGCCTGATATTTTGTTAAAAGCAAATTTTTTTTAGAATGTTTGCTATTATCATATTTGTTAGAATTAACTTACTATGTTATCCATTTGATCATTATAATCTGTTCTTCTGTAATTTCCTATTGATACTTATTTGAGAAAAGGTAAGAGTCAAAGGTAAGTTAGCAATTAATAATTGATAAGGTGCACCAATAAAATTAGCATGTCAATTTCAGGTTGTGCAACTGGTCGAATATTACTAGGCGTCGTATGATACCCCATCAAGACTGATAGATCGCACACATACGCTTCTTACTAACTAAGCTTCCTTAGAAATGTCCGATCTGAAGGTATTTCGAAACTGTGTTCAGATGCGCTGTGGGTAAGCTTTTCGCAGCGCTCGCTAAAATCGCTGCGCATCCAACAAAGCCTTCATGGGGCGCTGTTAGGGCTGCCACGTCTCTGAAGCACTAACAGCCTAGATGACGATAGCAGTAAGAAGTGAATGGCTCTGTAATAACATTAGGTAATACTTTGTCCTGTGTAAAATATGTATACTAATGTAGTCATAAATGAAGTAGTAACCAACTGTGGGTCTAATTGTCTAAATAAATGATAGTTTTCTTAATATTATAAAAGTAGAAGTAAAAGAACGAAGAAACAAAAATCAATGAAAAGTTAAAATTCTACAATACAATTTACATTGATTTTTAATTTTTCGTTTTTTACTTCTATTTTTAAATGTTTTGTGTGTAGTCATATAGCAGGATACACTAGAAAGTTCTCAATTCTTTTGTATTTTAATTTTTTACGCCATCTTGAAACAACTCTTTTGCATTTCCTTTTCCGTTTGGGGTAGAGATGCCACAATTTACTGACCTTATTGTAGAGTCCACCACCTTGACACATAAAGATTTTTTTCTGCAAGGTTTTCTACTGTTAAAGTGCTTACAGATCATATACTCTAGTAGTTTTTAGTATTTCTACCGCCAAGCAGTAATGTGAGCATTAAGGCGAGGTATTTCAACCATCGCGAGTCTAGATTTTAAGGAAATGAGGTGTGGGGGTCGCTCTTCGCGTTCGGCAATCCTCGCAGTGTAAATTAGTATGAATAAAATAAGAACAGGCGGATAAAATTTGACACAAATCCAACGTCGACAAGCGCCCGATGATAACTGACGGGGCAGCAGACGGCGCGTCATGCCGTTAATCCGTTGACCAATTGCAAATTTTGGGATAAAATAATGTAAATTTATAACTATGTGAAGCCTCATTTGAAAACCAAAATTTAGCAAGATCTCTGTAGTACATAAAGAGTAATAACTCCATATAAAAATTATGTACAGAATTATCTAATTTCTAATTTTTAACTATGTAGTTTATTCTTAAATAATTTATTTAGACTTTTATTTTAACCTGTTTTAAGGATAGAGAGATAGAGAGAGAGATAGAGAGAGAGAGAGAGAGAGAGAGAGAGAGCTGGAAATAAAACAAAAAATAATATATTATTTATAAAAAAAAATATTTTCAAAATATCTTTTTACAATCTTAAAACATAAAATTAGTTAAAGGCAGTGTTGATTTCACATAACTTTTTGAGTATTATTATTATATTATTATGACTAATGATAAAAGGTGTATAATATATATTTATATATGTACTTAAAATATCACTAGATTCGTGGTAACCTCGATACATACACATTATCTATTAAACGAATGTTTAAAAACAATAACAAACAAGACGTGCGACTTACGTACTTTTGTATAAAGTACATTTTGGTATCACATTTATGGCAGCTTAGTAGAGAAATTGTACTTTATTTAGACTAAAAGACGAAAGGCACAAGTGGTCGGTCGTAGAAATATCCTTGGTCTTGGACAAATGGGGGTCGTGTAGTGAAGGGCGCGCGGGTGGTAACTGGAGGGATGTATACGGGAGGCCTGGTTGGTCGAGTAGTTATGAAGGTTGGAGGAGGCGTGTATCTTGAAGTTGATGGTGGTAGAGGAGGCCTAGTTGGAGGAGCCGTCACAGGCGGGAACGGTACCTTGGGCTTCGGATAGTCATATCCTGTAGTTACGAAGGTTGGAGGTGGCGTGTATTTTATGGTGGGTGGTGGAGGAGGATGCCTGGTTGGAGGTGGGGTAGGCCGTCGGGTTGGTGGTGGGGGAGGAGGTGGTGGTCTTCTCGTCGTCGGTGGTGGCGGTGGGGGTGGAGGTCTAGTGGTAGGAGGAAGGTAAGTTGGAGGTGGCCTGGTTGGCGGTGGAGGAGGTGGTGGTGGGGGTCTTCTTGTTGTCGGCGGTGGTGGGGGCGGAGGAGGCCGAGTAGGTGGTGGAGGAGGTAGATAGGTAGCAGGTGTTCTGAACGTAGGCGGACGTGTAGGTGGTGGCGGTGGCGGCGGAGGTGGCCTAGTTGGCGGTGGCGGAGGTAAATATGTAGCAGGTGTTCTGAAAGTTGGTGGCCTTGTTGGTGGGGGCGGGGGTGGCGGTGGAGGACGTCTCGTCGTTGGTGGTGGGGGAGGTGGCGGTGGTCTTGTAGGTGGTGGAGGAGGTAAGTATGTTGGCGGTGTTCTAAATGTTGGGGGTCGCGTAGGTGGTGGCGGCGGAGGTGGTGGGGGTCTTCGAGTCGTTGGAGGGGGTGGGGGCCTTGTTGGAGGTGGCGGCGGTAGGTAAGTAGCAGGAGTTCTAAACGTCGGTGGCCTGGTTGGTGGTGGCGGTGGAGGAGGCGGTGGGCGTCTAGTGGTAGGTGGTGGCGGTGGCCTAGTAGGAGGTAGAGGAGGCAAGTACGTAGCAGGTGTCCTTGGAGGTGGTGGTCTGGTAGGTGGAGGTGGCGGAGGAGGCGGAGGACGTCTTGTGGTCGGCGGTGGAGGGGGAGGTGGTAGACGTGTAGTTGGCGGTGGTGGTAGGTAAGTAGCAGGAGTTCTGAACGTTGGTGGCCTGGTTGGTGGTGGAGGTGGAGGAGGCGGTGGTCTCCTGGTCGTTGGTGGAAGATACGTAACGGGAGGGAAAGGCCTTGGGGTTCTTGGTGGTGGAGGTGGCGGAGGTGGTCTAGTAGTTGGTGGTGGCAGAGTAAATGTCACTTTTGGTGTTGGGTAGTTATATCCAGTTGTGCGTGGAGGTGGTGGTGGTCGGGTAGGCGGTGGTGGTGGTGGAGGTGGTGGCCTTCTGGTAGTTGGTGGTGGTGGTGGTGGAGGTCTTCTAGTTGTTGGAGGAGGAAGGTAAGTTGGTGGTGGTGGTGGTGGTCTTGTTGGTGGTGGTGGTGGAGGAGGTGGAGGCCGTCTAGTAGTCGGTGGAGGGGGCGGTCTAGTTGGAGGTCGCGAAGTAAAAGGTACTCTAGGAGTGGGATAATTATATCCAGTAGTGCTAGGTGGTGGAGGAGGTCGTGTTGGCGGAGGCGGAGGTGGAGGAGGTGGACGCCTGGTTGTTGGTGGCGGGGGCGGTGGTGGAGGAGGAGGTCGCCTTGTAGTCAAAGGAGGGAGGTACGTTGGTGGTGGTGGTCTAGTCGGTGGAGGTGGCGGCGGAGGTGGGGGTCGTCTAGTAGTGGGTGGCGGAGGTGGTCTTGTTGGAGGTGGCAGAGTAAACGTTACTTTAGGAGTAGGATAATTATATCCGGTAGTCCTAGGAGGTTGAGGAGGTCGTGTTGGCGGAGGTGGTGGTGGGGGAGGTGGACGCCTGGTAGTTGGTGGTGGTGGAGGCGGTGGTGGGAGTGGTCTTCTTGTAGTAGGAGGTGGAGGCGGTGGTGGAGGTGGTCTTCTTGTAGTAGGTGGCGGAGGTGGGGGTGGTGGCCTAGTAGTAGGTGGTGGAAAAGTAAAAGGGACCCGGGGCGTAGGGTAATCGTATCCGGTAGTTTTTGGTGCCGGAGGAGGTAGTGTTGGTGGTGGAGGAGGGGGAGGACGTCTAGTAGTCGGAGGAGGTGGAGGAGCGGGAGGTCGGTTAGTAATTGGAGGGGGTGGAGGAGGCGGAGGTAGCCTCGTTGGTGGTGGTGGAGGTGGTGGTGGTGGTCTCCTGGTAGTAGGAGGGGGCAGATTAAAAGTCACTCTAGGAGTAGAGTAGTCATATCCACTTGTCTTGAATACATCTCGTACAGTGGAGTACGTTGGTGGTGGTGGAGGCCTCGTGGGCGGCGGGAACGGGATGCGTGGCGTTTCATACACGTAAACATTCCTTGGGGTGATAGTTGGAGGTGGCGGTGGTGGGGGGCGCGCCGTTGGAGGAGGAGGTGGCCTAGTTGGTGGTCGCGGTGGCGGCGGCGGCGGCGGCGGTGGGAAGGGTATCTTCGGCTTCGGGTAAAAGTACCCATCTTCGTTAAGGAGCGCGTTAATTGGTGCGCCTAGAACGGCATAATTTTGGCTCGGGTTGCTTGGGATGGCCCGAACGGGTCGGTCAGCCTGGCAAGTGGTTACCACAGCCAGGAGGACCACCGCTATGTGCAGTGACAGCCTCTGGAATATGGAAAGAAAGCACTTTAATTACACATTTGAAATATTGAACTGTAAATATAGTAGTTCATTTGGGCCAAGATGATAATTTTGGTGTCCAAATTCAAATTGAATTTATAAAGACTACCTAGACTATAAAGATTATTAGGTACCTTATCTAGAATCATTCTCATCAGGTATAAAAAGAAGGGTACAGAAGCGTACGGACGTTTTGGACTGACAAAGTTCAAAGACCTTGTCATAGTGGCTGGCAAAAATTGGATGAGGAAGGTATAACACCGGAAGGAATGGCGTGCGTTGGAAGAAAGTACGTAATTTTTTAACTAGATATTCAAACCGCTTAGCTTGCCCCTCCTATAACACTACTTGCTTTTATAGGAATTGCTATGTCCATACAAATATATAATGCTTTGCCTACAACTATCGCAGACTTACCTATAAAAATATTTTTTAAAAAAAGCTATGATCTGTGTTTATATGATATCAAACATTTTTTAATAATGAAAAGAAATTGACATTTTGTTTCTATTTAACATTTGTTTATATAAATATAAACAAAATGTCCTTACTTCTTTGATATTGTTTAATTCATGATTTTATTACTGTTGCTATTCATTGGCATTTTTACTTAATTTTATTTGACATTGCTTATTTGACAAATTATATAATTTTAATTTATGACATTATTTAACTTCAATTTAATTTTGATATTTGCGTGCCAGTATCTGATGTAACACGTGTTCTTGATACCTTGTATAATAATATCTTTTGTTGCCGTGTTTGTTTGCGAATAAATATTTTACTTCATTTCATTTCAAAGAGTTGAACTATATTATTGATACTTAAACGGCGAACAACAATTAAGAAAAATATAAGAAAATTAAGAAGCAGAAGTGATTTTAGTTACAACTTTGCTTGTTTATACCTATTACGGAACCAAAATGTTTATTAGGCCACGTTTGCAAAACGATAATATTACAGGAGAGATACTCAGAGATTCTACAAACGAAATTAGTCAGAGAATTTTTGTAACGAATAAGACTATTCGTATTTATATTTAGGAGTTTTATGTGATAAAAATATTTTTGACTTTTGATCACAGTCGTGTGACTACAGTATAAAAAAGGTACGAAGTTAAGTTAATAAGAAAGAAACGCTAATAACAAAATAAATTTTAAATTTAACAACTCCATTAAACAATATTTAGTATCAACATATCAAGGATACGTGTTGTGATGTGTGTGTTAAATTGTTGTGTTAAATTTTTCAGTTAACTTTAAAATAAACACTTTCAACTTTTCGGGTCATGCCACATGATCCGCTTTTGCGAGGAACAATGAAATTCTATTCGAATCCGGCCGGATCGAAGGAATTATTTCTGAGTGTTCGATCTTTGTATTAATAATTATAACAAACTAATGGAATAATTTCCCAAAAAATAATTATTATTATTAACTTCTTGTCTCGTTTCAAAATTATGTATGTACCATACACTACATAAATATTAGTAATTATTCCGTGATATGTACTTACGCCAGACATAAGCAATAAAGAGCATAGTAAGGAAAATTTCAGATTAAATTAATTTATTAATTACATTAGACTGCTAACAGATTGACTGCATGTTTGCATTAAATCATAATCAACTTCAAGCAGCCGAGATGGCGATTGCATGAAGTTGATAACGCTGCATGCAATCTATCTTGGCTGCATGAAGTTAATGTGTGGAGTAAGTTTTTAAACATTCTGGTAGTTTATTTATTGTAGATTTTTATTGACATAGGATGAGGTTCAGAACTATGTATCTTCAATGAAGACCTTGTTTGTATAAGATTAATTTGGTTTCGATGTTTTTGTTGTTCACAGCAGTGGTCGGGCGACAATCACGAAATTCGTTACTGAAATTCACACGACTGCGTTTGAATTCTGCAAATCAGCTGTAAATAGTCGTCCTGCATGGTGCTTCATCGCCAAAAGCAGTTCAAAGCCGAGCGAAGCTCCACTGAGCTGTTACATTACACTTAAAGTCGTAGAAAATCATACTACGAAAATTTTCACGAGTTAATTCCATGGTGATGTAGACGACCAATTTCTAAAATGACGCCACAATGTAAAAACAAGTGACAGTCAGATGAAACTGTATTCTACAGCCAAAGAGTTCTATTTTCAAATGTTGTAATTACTTTTTAAATATTGCAGCTAGTTTATTACCTTTTAAAATAAGCTTTGTTGACACAGAAATAACTATGGAATGATATGAAGCAAAAGCAAACGCCTAACTCTACGTCCACAATTTTCTTAATATTTATTATCACTGACCAGGGCCAAATTTCTCACATTACTTGAAGTAATCCCCAAAACAAATGACTGTAACATTAAACAATCTCTAACCATTCACAGTCAAAGCGTTAAGAGAAAAAGGTCAAAGTCGAATAACTAATGACCCGAATGTACAAATACATTTGTCACGATTTTGCCTTTGACAAATGTTTGTGAGTTACGCAGTTGACAAACATGACAAACATCAGTTTTTCCACACCCGAGTCTTGTATGCAAACATGTGTTCTTATATTTTTTAGTTCAATGCGATTGAAATATTATATTATTTCAATATTTTTTTTGCAATTACGTACCTATCCAAATAAAAGTTGTGTTCTTTTTAAATTGTTTGTTATTAATACTATAGGAAAAGTCGATTCCATCCAGCTCTTGGATTACGAACAAACGTTTGCATGAACTAATATTACAACTTAGCTGTAAAGTTAGCTAAAATATCAAAGAATATCACTTTAGAACTTGAGTTCCAAAGTTTTGATTAAATTTTGAGCGCCTACAAAAATTTGACGAGCAATACGTATCAAAATCTCTATAAATTAGTTACCACATTATAATTTAATTACGACCAGGCGCTTTAAACCATTATATACAGGTCATTTTAGATAAATACATTGAATATTTGAAAAATTGAAATAACCTTGTTTTAGCATTGACAGTATTCGTGTGAATTATCATACATTTTCATGCGCCACGAATAATTTAAAGAAGAGGCTCAAGGTGCTCTAGTACGTGGAATGCAGCTCATAAGGGACTGACTGAACTTTGTCACAAAATTTATTCTAAAACTGAATCGTTTGCCTTGTTTAAATGACTTAATTCTGTCATCAATTAATAAAATAATTATTAAATTTAAAACATGGTTACGTCATATTGTTTTCCTTGACAGGTAAATTGTAATAACAGACGGCCATTAAAATTTCACATGAAATCAAAATGGGACCTCTTACATAGAAGGAAAACATATCTTTAAACAAGCAATGTTATAACGTTAGCAGTCAGTGTCGCGGTAAAAACCAACTTGCTTGAAAATGTTTTAATTAGTCCTTTAAATTTTAATCTCTTCTACTTCTGCAACTGATTACTAGAATACAAACGAACAAGACTGTGCCATCAGCCCCGCTGAAGACTCGCACTCGCACCGCTGCCATTTTAGCCAGGATAGAACTGGCAAAGAATTACGCCACATTCTTTTTTATTTTATCGAAAAAATTAATAGACTATCTGGGAAACCCAAGGCCCGGCCGGCAGCTTTGCCCAACGCATTAGCAAAGCAATACAAAGGAGGAATGCTGCCAGCATCTTGGGCACCTTGCCGCGGGGCCCCAATTTTGTTCATATAATTTAAAAATCCTAGTTTTACTTTCTAGTATTTAAACTTTTATTGTATTTTTTACCTTACCTGTGTATTATTTTAACTACATATAATCTTATAACACATTGACTACGTAACTAGGAATGTTGATTTATTTTTAATGGAATTAAAAAATTAGGAGGTTCTCAATTAGACTGTTTTTTTTGTGTGTATGTTACGTAGTTGGAAAGGGAATATCTCAGTAGCGGTCTCATTCAAATTTGAAGAAAATATATCACCTCCAAGGGTGGCAAATGAGGGGATGAAACCGGTTTATTGATTTTGACTTTACGTTAACCGATTCCAATAAAACTTGGTATATAGATGTAATTCTACAAGCTTTTGAGGTCGATTTTTTTAATGAAAAGGCTATAATTATATTAAACCGTATTCGAGTGTATTTTTGTGCTTGGTGTGTTTACCTTTAACTTGATTTGTAATTATAATTTCCGAGTTAAACGTATTCATTGTTGGCAAACAGTTTACAATTAAACAAATAATAAATTTGGTTTTTAAAACCCAAGTCAAATACGTAAATAAACTTGACCTAGAAGATATCGCGCCTGCATTGCAGGATAGATAATAAAACTTATACTACCGATGTTTAATAGGTCTAGTATGTGGAAAAAAACCACTTGAAACTTTAGTCGCTAAATGTTAATTTAATACGATCCTGGTAAATTTAAGACGAGATATATCAACGCGAGCCAAGATTTTAGGAGGTGAGTTATGGGGGGTCGTCTCTCGCGTCTCGCAATCCGCGCGCTAGAAATAACAACAGGCGGAGATAAATTGACATAGATCCCATGTCGACAAGCGCACGATTGCGACTGATGGGATAGCGGCCGAGAGATAGGGTTTTCCGGAGAGACTATGGGCTCGACTCGGCATACGTCTTCACGGGCGTCTTTGGCGGACCCGGACTTGGTATCACCGGGACTCACCGGGGTTTGTTGTTAGCTGCAGGGAACGAACGTCTGCCCCGTCTCCCGCCTCGCGTATAAGACGCACTCGTCTCGATAGCGGTCTAGTCGAGGGCCTAAGGCGAAGAGACGCGCGGGGCATGTGAGTTGCCATTTAGGTCGCTGGCTTTGTCCGGACATTGTCGCAGGACTCAGCTACTTGGCATCTCCGGCACTAGCCCGGAGAGCTAGTAGAGGATAAGCTTGACTTTTTCCGGTCCCTCCAGTCGCGTAGGAATTTAGGAACTAGAGAGACGTCGTTCATTAGGCATCGAGAAGTGAGCGTGTCTTACGCCACCAATGAGGAGATTTGGTAGTCGACTTAGAGTCACTGGTTCGATAAAATTATTAAA